GTGGGTGGGCTTTTCCCATCTCTGCTTGTGCTCTCTCCCCGGGTTTCTTGGGACCCATGGCCCACTCTCGCCTGACACAGGAGCATCCTCTTCAACCCCGACGGGTGCTGCCTATACAGCGGCTGCCAGGACTCGTTGCGTGTCTACGGCTGGGAGCCTGAGCGCTGCTTTGACGTGGTCCTAGTCAACTGGGGCAAAGTGGCTGACCTGGCCATCTGCAACAACCAGCTGGTGAGAGCCACCCCCATGAGCCCATCAGGCCCCCACTGCCACCCAGCCTGCAGGGGTCCCGCCCACCCATACCCTAGCTGCTGCTGGGAAGGGCCCCACCCCAGCTCTGCCACTTCCTGCAGATAGGCGTGGCCTTCTCCCAGAGCAACGTCTCCTCTTACGTGGTGGACCTGACACGGGTCACGAGGACAGGCACGGTGGCCCAGGACCCTGTGCAGGACAGCCTGCCCCTGGCGCAGCAGCCGCCCCTCCCCACCGCCCCCCTTCGACGCATCTACGAGCGGCCCAGCACAACCTGCAGCAAGCCTCAGAGGTGGGCTTAGAGTTCAGTGGGTGCTGGGGGGTACAGGAAGTGGGTCTGTCCCTGGGAAGGCTTCGGGGGCCCTGTCCAGCCTTACTGGCTCCAGCCTCCTTCTACGGCCCCACAGGGTGAAACATAACTCAGAGAGTGAGCGCCGCAGCCCCAGCAGTGAGGATGACCGGGATGAGCGGGAGTCTCGGGCAGAGATCCAGAACGCCGAGGACTACAACGAAATCTTCCAGCCCAAGAACAGCATCAGTGAGGCCTGGCTCCCACCCTATGAACCCCGGCATCCCCACCTGGGAAATGGATGCAGACGATCCTTTCTGGGGATGGTGTCCCATGCAGCTCCCTTAGTTCCTAAGCCACACCGTGCCAGGCTCTGTTCCCAGGTCCTCTAGGCCCCAGCAGAGCCCTGGCAGCCACTCAGTGCCTTGCCCACCCTAAGCAAAGGAAGGCCCACAGGGGCAAGTGGGTGGGAAGGGGCAGGCCTGAGGGTTTGTGGGTCAGGACAGGGTCACAGGTGTACAGCTGCATGCCTGGGAACCATCTTCCATCCCCCATGTCCTGACAGGGTCCTGGGTCCCAGGCCACCTCAGTCCTAGGGGCTCAAACAGAAGCTCTGGGTAGCTAACGTGAGTCCCCTGCCCCCTTTGCCTCTACAGGTCGGACACCACCTCGAAGAAGTGAGCCCTTCCCAGCACCCCCAGAAGATGGTGAGTGGGAGGGTGGTGCAGCACATCTCCTCCCAGCTCCTCAGTCCTCTCCCCTTCTGAGCCCCCGCCCCTCCCCCTGACATCCCCTCTGTGCACAGCCTCAGCCTCTCCCACTCACCCAAGAGTACCTACTATGTGCCAAACCCCAGGCTAGTCCCTGGTGGTTGAGCGTGAACAAAGCAGGTAGGTGCTCCCCTCAGGAGGCCACACCCTAGTGAGGAAGGCAAACAATGGACAGATAACCATACAGATGGGTCCAGAAATGGGACATGTGCTGTGGAGGAAGGAGCTGGGCCTTGTGAGAGAAATCACTAGGGCCCCCTGAAGAGGGGGCCTTGAGACTCCTCACCACCCACTCAACACCAGCACCCCTGGCACACACATTCCTAGTAAGGTAGCAGATCTCCACCCCTGGAGCTCCCTGGGTCCCATCCACACACACAGTGCTAGATGCCTGCTTTCTGCTAGTCCTGGAATTGAGTAGGTAGAAAGTAGGGAGCAGGCCCAGCCCCTGCCCTGTCTCCCCAGGACCCACACTGCTGACTTCTCCCTCCCCTGCTGCCCAATTACAGATGCCATCCATTGTCCTACCCCGAGCCCTGCCTTCATCCTGACCCAGAGATCTTTTCCTTTTGCCTCCAGATATGGCCACAGCCAAGGAGGCAGCAAAGCCCAGCCCAGCCATCGACACACAGTTCCCGGTGCCAAATGTATGTCTGGGTGGACGGGTGTGGTGTGAGACTCAGAGGGGCTGGAGCCTCTTATCTGGGGGAGCAGAGAGGGAGCCCTCAGGCTGGCTGCCCACTGAGCTTCGGACCCCTCTAGCCCGAGGTCGTGCCCTGGCCCCAGGTCGTCACTTCCACCCCTGTACCCAAGGCCGAGCCTGCCATCATCCCTGCCACCCGGAATGAGCCCATCGGGCTGAAGGCCTCTGACTTCCTGCCTGTGAGTGGGGGCCCAGCCCAAGGGTGCAGTGGAGGCCCATGGGGTAGAGCTTTGCTGCCAGCATCTGGGCCCCTGTCCCACCAGGCTGTGAAGATTCCCCAGCAGACAGAGCTGGTCGACGACGATGCCATGTCCCAAATCCGCAAAGGCCATGACACCATGTGTGTGGTGCTCACTAGCCGCCACAAGAACCTGGACACCGTGAGGGCTGTGTGGACCACTGGTGACATCAAGGCAAGTGCCTGCCCCTGCCCCAGGCTTATGGCTGAACCAAGAGGAGGGCCACAGGAAGCCGCAGGTGGGGGGTAGGCGGCCCTTATCACCACACTGTGGTTTCACTTTATTTCTTCAGTTCTCACCATCACAAGCTGCCATTTATTGAGCTCCTATTTGTTGTCCTGGCCTTGCAACTGATTGTTGTAGGTGGTCTTATTAATATCCCACAATAAACCCCATCATCACACCACACTCAGGCAGGGGCCACTCTGTCCCCAGTCCTCTGTGACAGGTGCTCTGTTTGCAGACGTCGGTGGACTCAGCCGTGGCCATCAATGACCTGTCAGTGGTGGTGGACCTCCTCAACATCGTCAACCAGAAAGCGTAAGTGACAGCAGTGGGTGGAGCGGGTGGAGTGGGCAGGGCTGGGTGCTGAGGGTACCTGTCCCTGGGCCTCTCCCCAGCTCCCTGTGGAAGCTGGACCTGTGCACCACAGTCCTGCCGCAGATCGAGAAGCTTCTCCAGAGCAAGTACGAGAGGTAAGTGTGGAGAAGCCCCACCTACCTTACAGCAGGGAGGGGAGGGGGCAAAGAGGCTTGGGCAGGAACCAAGGGGAAGACCCTTGGGGTGGTGCCCCCATGAGGTGGCTATGCAGCCTTGCTGTCCCCTCCAAGTTCCAGAGAGGCCAGAGTGGAATCAAGCCCATGCTGCCTCTGATCCTTTGTCTCTGTCCCTCTGTCTTTGTGTACTTGTTTGTCTGTCTGTGGCTCTGTCCATCCACCTCTGAAGCTATGTCCAGACAGGCTGTACCTCCCTGAAGCTGATCCTGCAGCGGTTTCTGCCCCTGATCACTGACATCCTGGCAGCCCCGCCCTCTGTGGGTGTTGACATCAGCCGGGAGGAGAGGTGAGGGGCCAGGCAGTATGCCTGTGTTGGGGGCAGGAGTTCCACATCAGGCCTGGGGGCCCAGCCTGCTTGTTGATGGCCCTGCTAGAACAGCTTATGGAGGAGGTCACTGTGCCTGGGACAGAGACCCTGGCTCAGGGTATAGGGTTGGGGTTGCCAGAACGTTGTTTCCTCCATGGTCTGGCTCTGCCCTGAGCCCTGGTGTGGTCTGGCATGGCCTGGGGGAGAGGTGGGAGTGGTTAGGGCAGGAAAGGCCCCAGGGTCAGGTGGGGGTCATGGTTCTGTGCAGGTGGCCATCTCAAGTGCTGCCCCTCTGCCCACAGGCTACACAAGTGCCGGCTCTGCTATAAGCAGCTCAAAAGCATCAGTGGCCTCGTCAAGAGCAAATCAGGTTTGAGCGGCCGCCACGGCAGTGCCTTCCGGGAGCTGCACCTGCTCATGGCCAGTTTGGACTGAGGAATCCAGTGAGTGGGGGCACTGAGCAGCCCTTGGGGTCTGGCCTCAGCCCCCACTCCTGTTCCCTATGCACCCACCGGCCCATGAGCCTCTGCCCTGCCCCTACTGCTGCCCTGTGGCCATCCTGGAGGCGGCGGCGCTGGCCCACTGGCCACCTCCACAGCCCTGAACTCTCAGACAACTTCTGCCCAGCAACAGCTGCCCAGCTTTGCCCAACTCTTGCTTCCTGGGGCAGCCAAGCAAGCCCTGGGGCTGCTGCTGTAATTTATAAGGCAAATTTTATTAAATTTGTAACTATTCCCTGGTTTTCTTGTTGGGAGGGGCACCCCTGGCCCCAGGACTCTCCCAGGCACAGGATTGCCTGCCTGGCCTCTGCAGAGTCCTGCACCAAGCTGTGTGGCCAGCAGGGGGCAGCAGAGTGCTAGGCCAATGGGAAAGGGCCAATTCTGACTTATTCTGGGGGAGGTAAAGGTGGAGACAGCAAGTCTTCCTCCATGGCTGGGAGACAGGTGAGAGGTGGACCCCACCATCCCCTCTGGCTCAGCCACACTCCTAGATGTCTTGTGGATACCGCCAAGACCAACAGCTGTCTACTGCAGGACCCCGGCCTCACTGTGGCCACCACTGTGCTGGCCCAGAGCCCAGCATGCTCCCCCAAACCCCCAGGAGACCCTCAGAGACAGGACTGGAAGGGCAGTTCCCCCTATCCTTCTCTGAGGGCTCTGGACAGATTTCACTCCCTGCAGGAGCCCCCAGTGCTGGCTGGCCAGGACAAGCTGTCCCTACCCAGTGGGCATCCCTTCTGCTCCTGAGGCAGTAGCTGGTGGTTCAGCTACTGAGCATAGGCTCCCCCAAGGCTGGGACCAAATTAGGCCAACACAACTCCATGGCAGGGGTGGGGGGTTGCCCTGCACTGGTAGTTGGGGTCCTGTAAGCCCTGGGAGGAGGGTGGCGCCCACCTGCAGCCAGTTCACTTGTGGGGACAAGGCCAGGGCCCCAGGCACGGTGTTGCCAAACCTTGGAGGAGCCTTCATTTCCCATCTGTAAGATGGGGGTGACAGCACTGGCCCCTCCCAGTCTTAGATGTTCAGGACACGCCATCCTTACTTAGAGGCAGGTCTGGAGGGCTGTGGGTGACCAGCCAGCCAGCAGTGGGGAACCAAGAGCACATGCCGATGCCCTGCTCCTGATGACCAGGGGCTCATAATACCCATTCTTTTAGACCACACTTGTGTAAAAAGGCTTTTATTTTAATAAGTAAAAATGGCTAAGTTCCAAAAGTTCTTAAATAGGACTTCAGGGAGAGGAAAATGTCAAGAGGCCAGTGAGCAAGGGGAGAGCCTGATTCCAGATGACGGGAGCAGCAGAATCCCCGCCCTCTGGCCTCCTGCCAGTCATAAATACAGCCCGGCCCATGACAGGCAGGGCCTTGCTCTTATGTACACCAACGAACACTAGATACATGCCCAGTGTGGGGGCCCCCTTGGACTGTCCCTAGGGTGCCCACCAACCAGCCCATTCCCATGGTTCCTGTGCCTCCCAGGGGCTCCTCAGCCACCCACCAAAGAGGGCACCCTGCGGGCTGGGAGCGCTGGGCCAGCCCGGCGAGGGCCACCCTCCCAACACTGCTGCCCTCCCCACAAGGGGTCACTCTTGAGGGTCTGGGCCTGCCAGGTGGAGCCGGCCATCCCTGCCCTCCCAGCCCATATCATTTGCACCAAGATCCACAGCTGAGACACCATTTCCTTCTGAACATGTTTCTCATCTTGGGGGAGACAGAAGAGCAGCTCCTCTCTGGCCTCCACCTCCCAGGCTCCCAGCACTACAGCAGGAGCAGGTCAGTGAGGCTTGGGACCCAGCCCCTGGCACGGCAGGGTAGACACATCCATCACACGGGCAATGGCCTTGACTTCCCTGCAGAGGGAAGGGCTTTCATTAGCCTCGGATTAAGAGCAGGAGACAGCCCGGCAGAAGCACACAGACAGCAGGCAGCAGCAGGATAGACCCAGCCCTGAGCAGCAGGTTCCCGGCACAGCCCTACAGCCCAAGGCGGAGGTCAGGCGGCAGGCAGCCCTGGGCCACTGGCCCCACACTCACCTGGAGACTGCAGCCCCAGTCTCAGGCTGAAATCAAAGCAACAGGCGTCTCACTGCTGGGCTTGCCTCGGGCCAGGGCCCCTCAGGACCCTGCTGCCCCTATGCCTTTGTACTCCAAGCACTTGCTGGGCCTTTCTTGTGAGTGAGGCCAAGTTGGGGGCTGGAGGCCTGGATTCACTCTTCATCTGGGACATGGGGTGAGCCCTGCCCTTTCCACCCCCGGAGCTGAGGCCCAGGGCTGGTGATGCCAGACCTGCTTTGAAGGGCATATGGCATGAGCCCAGCCAGCCCAGCCTGGGATACTCAAGTCCTGGGCCTCAAGTCACCAGCCCAGCTAGGAGCCCTTGGAGAGGGGGCGGTCTTCGATTTCTCCTCTGTAAAATGGACCCAGCACTATCTACCCTAATTCCCAGGGCCAGGGAAGGTTGTGAAATAGGCTCTGGAGAAGTTTAAGAAAATTTTTTTAAAAAGAAAGTAAAGAAAAAGCCCAGTGGCTGTGACTGACCTGTGGGGGAAGCTCACCCACCCACCCACTCACTCCTTCCCTAAAAGCTCACCCGAGGGCTGCAGCCTCCTCCGGATGGAGCCTGGGCGGCTAGTGGTCCCAGAGCTGGGGGCCGAATGGGCTCGTGCTGAGGGCTGTGGTGTCTGGTAGACTGGTTCCCACTGTGGGCGGGGGTGAGCAGGTGGGTGGGGGCTGTGTTGCCCTGCCCCACCCCATGCTTCCCTCCATGCCCCTCCCAGTCTCCTGAAACGTTTCCTCATCTGCAAAGTGGGCACGATGATGGTGCCCTGCTTCAGTTACTTCGAGAGTTAAATGAGGTAATATATGTAAAGTAGTAAACTAGTTACTACTGAGCACCTGTGTGCCAACCTGTGACCCGCCCACCCCCAACCAGCTGAGGATCCCATAGGTACCTCTGAGGCCAAGAAATACGTGGACTAAAGAGGCTACCTGGTTTGGGTTCAAGTTCTGGCTCCAGCCCTTCTGGCATCTCTTCCCCCCCTTCCACTCCAGGCTGTCACCCCTCCCAGAGCCTCCCTCCTGCACCTGGCCTGGAAGTCTCTGACCCAGTGCCCCAGAGAAAGACCTGTGGCATCTCCCTACCTCCAGATGCTCCTGGCTGGACCAGGACCCCAGCTCTGCTCTGCGGGACCCGGGACCCAGCTCCACAGAGCGGACCCTCTCAGCGAACTTGAGGGAGTAGAGAGTCTCGCTAGTGTTCTTCTCCACAGGGGACACCTAGGGGACATGAGGGCTCATTCCCCACCCAAGCCAGCTGCCCCCACAGAACTGGAGGGGGCAGTATGCTCACCAGAGGGCGCTCACGGGCAGGGGACGCTAGCCAAAATGAAGGAACTTGAGAGGCACATACGGTGCTGTGCCAGGTCTGTTGGGGAGGTCCGAGGGGTGCACGGCACTGACTTTGGAGCTGCTGAGGACAAGGGTCCCTTCCCTGCACAGCTTGGGTACCTGGAAGGGGTCTCTGGTCTTGGTACTGGCCAAGCCCACCTGAGGCCCTCACCTGTACCACCATGAGGGTCTTGCTGTCCCCACTGAGCGAGTCCTGCAGGAGGTAGGTGAGCTTGGAGTTGCGGAAGGGCACGTGGCCCTGGCGGGAGCGCAGAGCAGCGATGACGTCCCCCAGGGCCGACAGTGACTTGTTGATGTGCTGTGCCTCCCGCAGGCGGCTGCCCTCGGCCCCAGACTTGCCCACGCGCTCCGAGCCGGCCAAGTCCACCAGGTTCAGCTTCCCTGTGGGGAGGGCGCCGGGCAGGTCAAAGGCGCCCCGGGGGTGGGTGCCGGGGGTGCACAGGCCAGGCCGCCTTTAGCCCTCACCCGTGGTGCGGAGGCCAGTGCTGCAGTCCACCCCGCGCACGGTCACGATGAGCAGTGCGTGAGAGCGGGAGCTGTGCTCGTTCAGGTTGGTGAACTCCGTGGTGCGGTTGGTGTGGCCGAACTCGAACACCTGGGGGCGGGGCGGGGGCGGGCACAGCTGAGGTACGGCTCGGAGTGGGGCTTGGAATCACCTGCCCCTGAGTACCCGTGAGGGGTGGCACCCTCTGCATTGCACAGAGGAGGAAACAGGCCCAGAGACGCGTGGGGACAAGGCAGAGCCAGGGCAGCTCAGCTCTGGGCGTGGTCTCCCCACATTCCCCC